GTTGCTCCTTTTGCCCCTTCCCTGCAGGGAGCAGAATAGGATTGGGATGGGAGGAAGGTTTGACAATGCCACCCTGCCCCTGCAGAAAACTCTGTTCTTTTCTCAAATCACAACTGTATATCCCAGGGTGAGAAATCACCCAAAGGTCTCTTCTGTAGTATTGGCTGGGTTTGGGATGTTTGTCCTGAACTTCAGTTCTATAAAACTGTTTTCCTTCAGAGGAAACAGTCACAAATCTCAGATCAGGTGATCCTTCTTATAAAGGCTTTGATCTTGCACAGCTCCAAGCGAGTACTGCTTGCAAGATTGGGTTTGTAAGTTGTAAATCCACTTCAGAGTCCTTTAGGATAAGAGGTACAATAAATAAAACCTACATGTATAATTTTCTGCTCAGGCAAAGTAGTTATCAATGTGGTATGAACAGCCAGACTTCTTGTCTGCCCAGAAAATGAACTTCTAGCTTTATGATTAAATTCACAAAATGTTCAAGTGGCTGCTTGTTAAGGAGAGAAATGAGCTTAAATAATTTTTTTCCTAATGTTGACCTGTATTAATGAGCTGAACCAGTGCCATAATGTAATGCTGAACCCTGTCCCTTGAATGGGGAAGCAGCATTCTGATGAAATGGCACATGTGGGTGTTTGTGCTCCGCACTGTATTTTAAGTGTCACAGGTAAAAAAAAGATGAAAAAGAGCTGGTTTTAAAGCTAGAACCTTACTCAGTATAAACAGGCAATTGTTTATTGTGGAGTTGTTGTTCTTCACGTGTTTTCAAGGTTAGTCTATAGATTCTTCCCAGCTCAAAGAACCAAGAAGCAATTGCTGCCTTCTCTATAAGCTCCCTCAGGTAGGAAACTTCAGTACCAATAGAGAGAGAGATGTCTATTGCAAGTCAAAGGTAAAAATCATTATTGTACCTAAATGTCTCTTCTTATCAGTATTTTGAGTTGTACACTTAACTACAGAGGAACATTTTGTCCTGAGATACATGAATGGCCTTTTCTTACAGTGCTTGTTTTAACTGAGTGCGATAAAAATGTCACATTTCATGAAAATCTATGGATTTTGCAGAGGCTCACAAGTAGTTGTGACATAAAAGAATTTTAAGCAGCAAAGCTCATATCCCACTTATGGTGGTGCTATTAAATGAGAATGGAAATTTTGGAGACTACCCCAAGCCTTTTTTTTTGAGAGCAGGAGGGAACATAGTAGAGCTAATTTCCACTTATCTGCTGTTTGAGAGTATCCTTCCTAGCCAAGGAAACAGTACTGTCAGTAACCAAAGAGCTACATTCACTCCTCTTGTAATGTAGATGTGATTGTTGGGCAGATATACTTGTAAGTAATTAAGAATTGGCAAAGATCTGCATTACCCAACTTCTGTTGAGATGTGCTTGTGATTGAGTTCTATAGTGACTCAAAGCTTCATACACAGTTCAGAAAATGCTTAATAAACTGGCAGATTGGTTGTACTTTTTGGTGTATCTTTACAGCAGCAAAACCCTCCTGCTCCAGCCCTTGAAGGTCCTGCTGAACAGCCCCTGTGCAGTTCAGGTTCTGCAGTCCTGCAACGTTATTCCTGCAGGGAGCTCTTTACCAAGCATTCTTATTTTTGAATCATGGCCCAAGAATGTCAGACCACAATACACAGTGTGCTTGACTATACATAGCATCTTGTTTACAGCAAGACAGGATTAAAATTAGAAGTGTAGGAAGGCACAGACCAAGCTACTGGTACCTCCTCTCTGCTACCATATGTCCCTCACCTCTTGTCTGTGCAGTTTCTTTAGCCAGGGGCTGAGCACTAAAAATTGCTGGGGGTTGCTTTGCAGCCTGTCTGGGTGCAGGTCCTTGGCACATGTGCAGCTTATTCCTGTGGCTAAAGTATTTACAGGATTTGAAGAGTGTGCTTTTAAATCCCTCAACTATAAACTCGTTCCTGACACCAGACATTCCGAGGGTCATCTGTGGCTTTGTACACGCACTGAATTCTGACCTTGCAACTCATAATCTTTGCTTTGATACAAGTACACGAGAGCTGATGGTCATTTCAGCTCTATATGTGCTAGACAGAGACTGGACACTGATGTGACTGTCTGCCTGTCCTGTCTAACAATGAGCTTGTTTCCTGAAGCAATTTTGGTTTGTGCCAACATGAGCAGCACCTGAGCATGGCTCAGGATGGTGCAAGTCTGGGACTGTTCTAAACAGTTAAGGCCACGCTGATTTGGAAGGAAGGGAGTTTAGGTGTTTGGATCTGACACTGGCACTTGCCCTCGTGATCAAAGACCCTACGTGAGGGAGCAATACCAGTATTGCAGGGGTCACCAGTGATCAGGAGCAGCAAAAGAATAAAGTAATAGAAACTTGGAAAAACTGACAAAGGGATCCTTGACTGCCGTCATGCATCTGAGCTCAGTAAAATTAGAAGCACAGCAGATGTCAAAAATCTTACAAGAATTGCATATTTTTAGTTTCTCAGAATTCTTTCAATTAAAATGAAGGGGAAGACCACAAGGTGAAAACTCAGGGAACATGTTTTTATGGAGAAGAGGAGGAGAGAGAACAAAAATGTCTCCTCCTGAAATCTGAGCACATGTTCTAAAAACATGATCATGAGGAGTTGTATTTAATCAAGAACTTAAATCTAATGATTGAAGTGTGATTTAATCCTGTTTCAAGCAAAAACCTCCACAGTGTTTTAACTGTAATGAACTTTTTTTTGCTACCAAAATTGCCATAATGGTAGAATTTCAAAAGGGATTTAAAAACCAGAATGCCGTGAAAGGACATTGCTTGTGAATTCCACAAAATGTTAACTACATTGATACTAATCTCATGGCAGAGCGAATATGCCAAATTCTTAACAAATTGTGTTCAAATCCAAAGTGTATAAAAGCAGACTCTGTTCTTGAAGGGGAAAGTGCCAGGTAATCGCTTTGTTGCATCTCTGAGAGGATTATCTCACACAGAAGCCTTTCTTTTAAATGCAGGCACCATTATAATGAATCACTCAGGTTGCTCCAGTCCAAGAAGGAATTCATGGAAAACAAACATCCCCACGAAAGATCCATGAGGGATTCCCTTTCATGCCAGCACCCAGGTTGGTCCATAACTGTAAACATGACTCTTTGTTTAGTATTAAAAACTGTGCAGCTTTACCAGGTTACACTGATAATGAAAAAGTTGAGCAGAGTAGCTGGTGAGTGTTGAGGGCTGGAGCTGCCTGCCAAAAACAAGCCATGCCAATAGAACTGCTGGTACAGTGTTTTGTAATAATTCCCACTCAGACAGGAGACCTTGGAGTTGTATTAAATCCGGGTTTTATAAGCATATCTTTAGCTATGTCAGAGATGTATGTTGTGGCCCTGCTTGTTTTGCAAAGCACAGAATATATGAATAAAAAATATCAAAAACACAGGGGTTACTTAGAATTCTAATTCTAGTATTGGAAAACAAAGTATCTGGATACCACACCAGTGATGCTGATGCCTTGATGTTTACTGTGTTTCTGGCCAGAAAAGCTTCTGTTGACAGCAAAAGTGTGGCAGGTCCTGGAACAATGTCAGTTCTCGGTTTCCTATTTAATCATATTCCCTGGCCCTATGACTTGCCAGGATGCTGCTAGATTTTTGATACATTGCATTTTTCCTGTAGTATTGCAGCCTCTCTTGGACATGAATAATACATTTCAGTTGTTCATGATTGTTGATGAGTTGTATCTTCACAGTTGGTAGAGAAAAAAAGGTCTGCTTTTTGTGCATCGTCACTGGGACGTTTCGTGTTTTCTGAATTGCTCATTTAAGGAGCTTGTGGAAGACTTGCAGATGTGTTAACCACCTACAACCACAAATAAGTGAAAAATGAAGGCAATACCTCCATCCTTCCCCTTCATTTGTATTCACGTGAATACAAGGCTGTGAAAATACCTGGGCAGTGTTTGTAAAATTCTCAGATGGAATAGTGATGAGTTGCATAGAAATGATTTGAGAAAAGAGATAGTTCTGTGCTGGGGCTTAGGCAGTGGAGGGCAAATAAGAAATGGAGAGAAAACAGAAAAAAATGTACTGGTGCAGTATCCTTGGTCATTACTACAAGATACAAAGTGAAAATGCCATGACCATGTGACACAAAATATCTGTAAAATATTCTGTCCATTCAAATTTGTCTAAAAATGAAATAAAATTTGGTACATTATCTAACTAGTTTATTGTAAGGCAGTTGATTAGATACAGTTTGTCATAATTCTCTTCATTTGTTTCTCCCTGTTTTTGACTTGCTTGAGTGGAGGAAGAATTCTCCGTTACCTTTGTACTGATAATATTTGATATGCTGAGTGATGATGAAGTAGGTGGTAAAGTAATTGTGATGAGACACATAAAATCTAAACTGATTTTTTTCTTGCAGCCTTTTGAAAAAATCACCAAAACCAAACTGGAGTAAAGCTAAATTATTTTTAAAATAGGGGGGAGGTGGGGATGAAGTGATGAGTTAAAACCAATTTTAAGTAAAAACTTCCTAGAAAACTGAGCGAGGATAGACATCTCTTATTTCCTGTTGTCTTTCCAGTTCTACCAGAATTAAAGCTGCTCTGTGGGGCTGATTTTCTACAGACATTTAAGACCCCCAATCTCTGGAAGGAAGAAGACATCAAAGAAATAGTGGAAAAGTTTGGTTTGGTCTGTATTAGCCGGGCTGGCTCTGATCCCTCTCAGTATATCAAGGAATCAGACCTTTTAACTCGATTTCAGCACAATATCTTTCTGGTGAAAGAATGGATTCAGAATGAAATCAGTGCCACACAGATCCGCTCTGCCTTGTGCCGAGGGCTGAGTGTCAAATACCTGCTGCCAGACTCGGTTATATCCTACATTGCACAGCACAACATCTACACCGAGGAGAGTGAGAGGAAGAACGAAGGGGACCTGCTGCAGCCTCTGAAACTGCAGAACCCAACAGGAACCCCCCTGAGGGACTGATGTCTGCAGGGGCTCACCTCCACACACAACCAGTTTGTCCATTGACATTGCTTCAGAAAGTTGTTTCTTGTTAATAAAAAGAAAGCACATCAGTCACAAATTTCTTGAAATCATGTGGTGTTTTAAACACGCGAATCCTCCTGTGGCAGTGCTTAAGCAAATGGGGATGCTCAGCTGCACAGCTTAAAATTTAAAAAGAACAGCTTCCTTGTGAAAATAAAAGGAGATCTTCATAATGAATGGTCATCTTTAGTAATGCTTAAAGGTCAAACATAGTACTTTCCTAAATTGTAATTCTGTAATCTCACAGACTGTTTTAGCGTGAAGGTGGCTTACTGTTTGAAACAGCAAAATATAATGAACCGTAACTTTATACAGATATGTTTAAATATATGTTAATGCTAAAATTTGACTTTATAAGACCCTAAAAAACTTTTTGAGTTTTGGCAGTTTGGCCAAGAGATGGAAATATATCTTTCTTTCATGCAAGCACTTAAAAACACATGTAACATGCCACTTTATAGCCTCTGCATTCTCAAGTTCCAGACAATCCTCATCCCCACATTTAAAGTGGGTTTCTTTACTTCTCTCATCCAGAGTCTTCTGTAAGGGTAAGTCGTTGCCAAAGCCCCAGAGTAGATAATATATCCAAGAGGAACATCACTTGTTCCATTTGAAAGTAAACAGTGGAAAATAAATGAAATTATTAATAGGGCTCAGTCTTTGAGCCATAATTTTAGCCAGAAAAATCTGTTCTCTTCTGTGCTGGTTGCATGTTGTGCTGAATCAGTATTTCTCATTTCTGACAGAAGACACCTTCAAAGAATATGGAAACTCTATAAAGTGTTATTTTTGTGTTTCAAAGTTTCTTAAATTATGTGTTCAGTAGTGATGTAGCATTTATCAATATACACAGCTAACCACTGCTTCTTAATACAACTTTCCACCTCACTGGCCCTTTTAGAACCCTCAGTTGGCCAAACAGCTTCCACTGGTAGTTTTCTAGAATTAAGGAGCTTGGGGAACAAGTTGAAGAAAAGCCAGACCCAAATTGCTTTCACTGAAAGAGTCTGTATGATTGTTTTCTGGAAAGAAGAAGGTATAAAGTAGCTGAAACATATTCAAGAAAGAAGATTTTGCCTCAAAAACCACACAAGATAAGCCCTTGTGTAGCTTTGGCTGATATCCTAAACTAAAGCTATTTAAAAGGGTTTTTTTCTGAGTGGCATGAGAAATGAAGAGTAATATGGTTAAAATGGATCTCCCTTACAGAAGTTACACGAAAGGTGAAAGTTTCATTCGGTTTAAATCAAGTCATCCTGGTGTCATTAGAAAGCTCCGAGTTCAGCCTTGTGGAAGGGTTTAAAGGCAGCACTTGGGCAATAATCGGATTAGGAGGACTTGCATAGCTCCATGGGCTGAAAAAGAGATAAAAGAAAGCAGAGTTCCAGCTTGCCCAAAGAAAGGCAGTGAGCTGTGTGGGGCACGATCAACACACGGTTCTGAGGCTTGGATTTTGACAATTCCCTAAAGTAGGGATGCCTGTGGATTTCAATGGGTACTGGAAAATGGTCAGCAATGACAATTTTGAGGAGTATCTGAAAGCACTGGGTAAGGTCCCCTTTGTACTTCTTCAATAAATAATCAATAAATGCCACCTTGGTCTTTACATTAATCTATTTTTTCTCTTGTATAGTCATAAATCATTTTCGTGAGAAATGTTTTCTTCAGGAATGCACTTTAAGAATTGCCTTAAGGAAAATTATTTCACCTTAAGCAGCCTCTACTTTTTATCATCTTGAATCTTACATTAACAGGGATTAAACTACATAGCTTGAAGAGGTGGCAGATGTCAAACCATAATTTGAAAAGAGTAAAATTTTTATGTTTAATAAAGAACCAGTACTGTACATTATGCAATGTTGTGTTTGTATTTGATGTTAAGTGTTAGTATTTCTAGAGAAATACTCAAGGCCCTATGAACTGCCCAATACAAATTTTTTTAAGATTCCACGAAATGAAAAAATTGAAACATTAAGTTATTGAAGTTAAAAGAATTAGGTTGTGTACTTTTTCCTGATGAGAAGGCTGGCCTGAAAGATCTGGACATTTTATTTATCTTTGTTCCTTTTAGTTGTCCCAAAAAGTGTCAAGCTTATTTTTGTGGACGACTTTTCTGGGTAAAAATAATTCTTTTTCTTTTTCAGATGTAAATGTTGCCGTAAGAAAAATAGCAAACTTGGTAAAGCCTGACAAAGAAATCCTTCAGGACGGGGATCATATGATCATTAAAACTCTAAGCACTTTTAGAAACTACATCATGGAATTTGATATAGGAAAGGAGTTTGAGGAGGATTTATCTGGGGTGGATGATCGCAAATGCATGGTAAGAATTAGAACTGTAACCACGGGCAAAAAAAAAGAATAATACTAATCTGAGGCCTTTCACAGAGCTCATCTGTTACCTTTTTGTGGGGCTATTCCTAAAATTATTTCTGTATTTCTCAGTTGGCCAAGGTGTACCTACAGTTTTGGGCATGCTTTTACTAATTTTAATCAGGAGCACAAAGTGATTTTATCAGTGAGTGAATAGTAACTTTAATGAAAATTTGCTCAGTTACACTGGGATATTCATTAGTCAAAAAGGCATCTCAGTTCCTTTTCAGAACCTCTTCACTGGATGATGTTTTGTGGAAGAGGAAATGCACTGATTGCAGGACCAGGCACTAGTCCCCATGTGTAAGAATGGCCAAGTGCTTGAAAAATTTATATAAGTTAATTAAAATTATAAAGATATATTACTTAAAAATTATTATATGCATTTATTAGAGCAGACACATTAATTACTCAAAAAAATATTATTGAAATGAACAAACAAACAGGACTCTGAGCTGTGACTCTTATGAGCTCTTTTTGCTTGCCAGGGAGACAGTAGTTTTTATCTTATGACTGATAAATAGCAATTAACAGGGGAAAAACTTGAGAATACCAAGTTCTCACCTTTTAGTTTGAAAGCATGGCGCTGGCAATATTCTACAGTGAAGAAGCTGATAAACAAAAGACAGTTATCTCGGGAGGGACTATAGAGGAGAACTCTACATCTACATAAAAGAGAATTAATAGATTTCCAAGAAAGATAGTGCCATTTAAAGCCAATACTTTTATCTAACACTAGGATATGCAAATTTTCTTTTGGTCAGGTCATGGCAGGAAAGGGAAAGATTGTGGAGACCAGAAAAAAAAATGGTTTCCTACTGAATGCTTCAAGTAACCCCTCTGTACTCCCTGTTACAGAGGGTCCAAGTGTGCTAGGAGTGCAGAATCCAAAATGCACAGAAGGGAGGAGCACATGGATTTGTGAACAGGGAAATCCCCCAATGACACAATGCATTTTTGACTCCTGGAAGGCTCTTAATCAGGATAATGAGGTCCAGATGCACTGGACAGTTATGAGCCCACAGAAAGATTTGACTTAGGTGGCTAAATTCCTGTTGGAGACAGCAATGTTCAAAACATCTGCTCACAGTGTTGGTGTGCACAGAGCTGTCTCCAGCTAAGCATTATCTGTACTTAAATGCCATTAAACTCCCATTTAAAGGAGGACTAAACCATCCTCTACGTGGCAGAAAGAAGTCTTTGTGCTCTGAGGCTGCCTAGCAAGTGCCTGCATTGAGTTCTTACAAAATGTGTAAGGCAACCACTTGCCAAAAAATCAGATTCAGAAGACAGGGAAATGTGGTCCTTGCCTAATCCTGCTTTCAAAGTGCTGAATAGATTAACAACACAACTCTTGATTTCTTGAGAAATATCCTAAATATTTCCTTATTTGTAATAAGCAAAAATTTTCTACCCTTTTTTGCTAAACTGAGTGATAGGGAAGAATTCAAAATGTTAAACCAGAAAGAAGAAACTAGAGGAAGATTATTTTAGCCACTGCAACAGCTATTTGATGTGGAGTAGAACTTAATTCACCCTACCTTCAAAGGTTACTCAAACATGTTATGTATTTACTGCTTAGTGCAAAATGTTTATTCAGGCTTGGAAGCAGAAGGTACCAGCACCTTCTTGCTTTTTCAAAAAAAAAACAACAAAAAATCAGAGGTAATCCCTAATCCTGATTTAGGGATGTAACTCCACAAAACCCTCCAGAGGTCTCCATGTCTCTTTATGGCCTCCAAGAACAAATTCCAGCTGCAGCTGTACATTCAGGTCACTGATCTCTGGTTCTCTACTTGCCTTGTAGCAACGTGTCACACTTAATAGTCCCATTTTCCAATTAAAGATTTCTATGTGAGGCCTGTGTTTTGTCAAAGGCAAAACAGCATAAGAAGCTCTGTCTTTCTGAAATCACTTCAGTCCAAATCTGATAAACATGAGGAAAAATTTGCAGTTGTTAAGCAGCAAAATAACTCCAACAATGCAGAAAGAGTCCTGTGAGAGCAGGGTCATGGAGGCTATAAGAGATACTGGACCACTCCCTGAGTGGTGTTCTGAAGAATACCACCATAAAAGCAAAGGTTGAATATTGTTCTTGGTGTTTCCTTTGCTCAGCTGGAGCTTGTGGAACTGCCTCCATAAATGGCTTAATCATTAATAGTCAGCCTGTGTAATGGGAGAGATTGTGAATCAATTATTGTTATTTATATTGTGGACTGAGCAGACCACTGGGCAAGTTTCATCCAAGTAGCTCAATGTATGAGCAGTACAAAGGAACGTGGATAAGACAAATTGCACATTAAACATTAATCTGTATAGCAGAGCAATCATCAGGAGAGTAGCAAGAACAACCTTAGAGGTAATTCACCCTATAGGTATGGATCGTTTTTCCTTTTAATGAAGAATATATCATCTCACTAGAGTTAGCATAATGTTAGCACAGTGACCAGGTTACATCTTGTGTGTAATTCACTGAAATTGTGTTCACCTTTCAGTTGTAGAACATACCCTTGAGTCAGGCAGGGTAGAGTGTAACTACAGTAATTCCAAATCGATACTGTCCATAGTGAGAAAAGGCTAAAAAGCTTTGCTGATACATTTTTTAGAAGTCTAAGTTTTGACACTGGGAGTTGATACTTCTGTGGCAGTACAGTCTCTCTCCTTCATTTCCATGAGGGCTCTTTCATTTCTGTAGTTGGTCACTCCTGGAAGCCTGTCTGAACTTTCTGGATCAGTGAGTTAATTGAGCAGGATAAACCTCAGGAGTTTCAGTTTGTCCTTCTTTTGACCCTTAACTGTCTTTTTCTTGTATGCACCTGTTTTAGGTGACTCTTTAAGATTTTGTTTCTGTGAGGAAGTGAACATTTGCTAGTTTGGAATCTTGAGAAACGCAAAAGTTTCTCCCTTAGTTAGAGATGCAGTTTCTCTGTTAGTTGCCCACACAGGAGAGATCCCTAATCCCAGTGCAAGGTGCTTCCAAGAAGGCAGTTGGTATCATTGCCTTACTGAAAGCATGGATTGATCAAGCTGCAGCACAGCCTGGTCTGCTAAGGAATACAGACACCTGCATTCCCTGAGCCCCAGAATGCTGCCATGCTGCTCCTCCAGCTTTCCCCCAGAGATTTTATCTCCTAGGGAAAAGTTAAGTGACAGTTTCTCTATTTATTTGGCGATTTCAGCAAAGTGTTTCTGCAGGTTTAATCATACTTAATATTCAGGGTTGTTAAAAACTTGGCAATTTGAAGTACAAAGGTACAATGAAAGTTGACATATTCAGAAACCTCTTTTCTTTTTTGCAAATATTACAAGGAGCACAAGATGTAGAAAGAAGTTTAGAACATTAATATTGTGTTACATTTTTTCTCCTGAGATGTGAGTCGGACCATGTAGTAAAGTTTCTGCTACTCTGAAGAGTTTGTTCATGGTTTTAATTGGTAACATATATCAGATGGATAGTGTACCAAGACAGAAATTTAAAGTGAAACAGATAACTCTGGCTTTGGTATTTCCTGCATTGAGTATTTGATCCTGCTATCTTAATTCTTAGTGAAGCTCCAGTCTCATCATGAAATTTTCTCAGTTTTAAAGATAATATCTGTAATCTCTCATCGTGATTAATTTAGTGACTGTCTCAGGTATTGCACTAAGTGTGAAACTTTGTTTCATGTGTATGAACATTAGTGTGGGAAAAATTTATTGTGCACAAAAGACGCAAGACCTTATTGAAGCAACAATTAATTGAAAACCATCTCTGAGAGTATATCCCATTCATCAGCAGATAATTTTGCTTTCCTTTTCCACCACCAGTAATAAACAGTGGAACTGAGGAGTCATCTGCAGCGTATGTATCAGCACACATAAAAACAGGGCAGGATTTGACACTAAGCAGAAAATCACTGTAGCTGGGAGTAGTCTTCTCTCAAATTTAGTGCCCCCTCTCCCTCTGCAGCGCTGTATTTTCCCCAGCTCCTCATTGGCGTAATCACTGATTACTTTTTTTTAATAATTTAAAAGAGGTAGACTTTCATGTAGTTTTCTGTTGATATTCCTGACCTTTTACAAACTGCTCTCCACAAGAGAGGAAGAAAATGCCTCCAGTAAATCCTCTTGAGGTCTGGAGAACAGAGGTCCACTCCTGGCTCTGTCTCAGGCTCTCCCAAACTCTAGTTTATCCTGTCTGTGCCTCAGTAAAGAGAAGCTGTTTCCTTTTTCCTGCCTTGTTTCACCCTGCCTGCTCTTTTGGCATCACTGCTTATTGCCTGCAGGTGAAATGCTCAGCACATTCACACAGTGACAGCAAATGAGATCTCCTGAATCTTTTGTCATATAATTTGTCATAAACTTCGAATTTTGCAGTGCTGGATTCACATCTAAAATCTGAGACTGATCAGAAGCTTTTGAGCTAGTTATTCACAATAGCACTGCTAACACACTGAAGTTCTGTAGGGAACACGGGTTTGGACGGGTTTAGCATTTCAGCTTTTTGAGAATTCTGACAAGCTCTGAGAGTTATGAATGCAGAAAGTACAATCAGAAGGAATCAGCTGAAAAGCTGAGAACCAGATGCAACAAATCCAATTTTGAATGGCAAGCCATTAGTGTTATGTACAATTGCATCTTGCTGAAATTACACAGGGGATAAATCAATTATATGCATTACTTTAAACAGTGTCTTAGAATCGATTCTGATCCTTGCACAAAATGAATTGGATGTGCTGGGTTTTACTCCTTTTTTTTTCCTGGCATACGATATACACAACTCTTCTTATTTTTGTATTATTTGTATACAGTTTTATTTCAGTAAGAAAAAAAATCCACCATGCCTAAGAAATGAAGCAATATGCACTGTCCAAAATATTGATTCTACTCCTCCTCCCACATATTGCCAGCTGCATGGCCTGCAGCTTTTCCACTCCTCACTGTACCATGTCGTTACTCATTGCTTTCCGC